AAAAAAAAAAAAAAAGAACTCAAGTCCTCTTAGCTGACAAGGTTGGCGCTTTACTGCTGGAGCCACACCTCCAGCCTTTTTAGGGGTGGGGGTGTTGTGGGGCTTGAACTCTGGGTCTGGGCGCTGTCCCTCAGCTCTTCAGCTCAAGGCGAGCACTCTACCACTTGGGCCACAGCGCCACTTCCGGTTTCCTGGTGGTTTATTGGAAATAGGAGTCTCACTGTCTCTCCTGCCCAGGCTGGCTTTGAACTGCGATCCTCAGCTCTCAGCCTCCTGAGTAGCTAGGATGACAGGCGTGAGCTACAGGTGCCTGGTGCAGCCCTGTTTTTGGTTTTATTTTTCAGCTCACTTTCCCTGGGGTTGTTCTGGGGGGGACAGGTGGGGGCCTTGGGGGGAATGTTCTGGGGGGGCATACCACCGCACAGCACCCCAATCTACAGCTACACAAGGAGCAAAGGCATCTGGGAAATACTAAGAATCCAGTACACCAGGGATGTGAGTAACCGATCCTGGCTCTGCCCCTGACTCTGGATGACCTTGAGCCTCAGTTTACCCCTGGTGGAGGGAGGATGGGCTGGTTGGGGTCCTATCCTGGGTGGGGTGGGGTGGGCTTGGCACACGGGCCTGCTATGTCCCCCGTGACCACACGGTGGCGCCCGCCCCTGCCTTCTGCCTCGTGGGAGGGGCAGGCTGGTGGATGGTGCTCAAGCAGGCAGCAAAGGAGGTAAATGGGATAAATGGCTGCGTGGCCTGGGGCAGGGCTGGTGGGAGAAGGCAGACACCATGGAGGCTTCTGCCATCTGGATGTTGAATTCAGGGCCAGGGCGCTGTCCCTCAGCTCAAGGCCAGCGCTCTGCCACTTGAGCCACAGCGCCACTTCTGATTTTCTAGTGGTTCATAGGAGATCAGAGTCTCACGGACTCTCCTGCCCAGGCTGGCTGTGAACCGCGATCCTCAGCTCTCAGCTTCCTGAGTAGCGGGGATGACAGGCGGGAGCCTCGTCGGTCTAGATCTTTCTTGATCCCATGCTGCTTTCTTGATCCTCTGGGTTCAGATCTGGGGGTGTCCCGGGATGGGGTGTCCGTGGGTGCCGTCCCTCCCCCCAGGGCACATCAGAGCAGCCCGTGGTGATCCATCCTGGATTCCCGGCCTGACCCAGGGCTGCCTGCTGTGCCCTGCGGCCGGCCGGGCCTCCCAAGTGGGGTCGGAGCCCCTTCCCTCCCAGACAGCGACTGTCCACCTGCGTGACCCAGGGGGACTGAGGCAGGAGGGCCGGGAGATGCCCCACCCCCAGGTGCAGCTCTGGCTTCCGGGGTCCATCCGCACCCCCCCAGGCGGCTCAGGTTTCAGGCTGGTTCCCTGTCCACCCCAGGGCCCCCTCCCCCTCTCCGCCCTGTCCCTCCCTCAGGCCTCTGGGAAAAGGGCAACAGTGGAAGGACGTTGGGAGTGAGCAGGGAGGTGTGTCTGTCTGGGGGGTGTCACTTGCGGTGGATCGCAGGCCTGGCTTGATCGAGGTGTCCTCGGTGCCAACTCTTTGTGTTCTGCTGGCTTTCCCCTTGCTGTTTGCCCAGCTTGGCTGCACATGCTCGTTCACACGTTCCTGTGACACCCCTGCCCGGCCCGGAGCCCCAGAGCCCCCGTGGGGCCCTCACACACTGGGGACCCGGGGTCAGGATGAACCGCACGGGCCTGGGCCCCAGCGGCGGCCAGGTGCCGGGCCTGGGGTTGAGTCCTCACGGGGAGGAAGGGGCGCCTTCCAGTCACCCACAGACCCTCCAGGGCAGGACCGCCCCGCCGGATCGCTCACTTCCGAGCCACTGGGGCCCCAGGGCTTCAAACCCAGCCTGATGCTCGTCTCCCTTCCCGGGGCGCCCAGCTCCATGCCATGGGGAGATGGGGAGCAGGGCACCCGCGGGCGGGGCGGGTGGGGCGGGGCGCCCTGGGCTCCCGGCCCTGGCCCCGGCCTGTGACTCAGGGCTCAGGCCTGCGGGGGCTCCCCGGCCGCACCCCCACGGCCCAGGCCTCCGAGGTCCCCCCACAGAGCAGCCCCGCGCCTGTGCTCTCAGGCCCGGCTTCTGGGGGTGCAGCCCCCCCCAGATGGTCGGGATCCTCCTGGCTGAGATGCTTCCTGGGGTCCGGTGGGAGCCAGGCTGCCCCCCCACAGTCACCGGACTGGGTGGGGACCCCGCCCCCCACCTCCATCTCATACCCGACGAAGAAGCTCAGGACACCTGCTGCACCATAAGAAGTATTAAGTGGAGGAAATATAAGAGCAGAGCGAGCCAGCCACGAAGGACGCAGCGCATGCCAGGCCCTGGGGGACACAGCGCCTGCAGCCGCAGCCCCTCAGCCTCCTGCACCACAGGGCTCCACCTATTCTTTGCCAGTCCTGGGGCGTGAACTCAGGGCCTGGGCGCTGTCCCTGAGCCTCTTTGTGCTCAAAGCTAGCGCTCTACCGCTTGAGCCACAGCGCCACTTCTGGCTTTTTCTGTGTCTGTGGTGCTGAAGAATCGAACCCAAGGCTTCATGCATGGGGGTCGAGCACTCTACCACTGAGCCACCTTCCCCCCATGGGGCTCTTTTATTTCTAACTCATTAATTGGGAGTACTGGCGTGGGACTCAGTGATGGGCAGGTGCTTTCCTGCTGAGCCACATCTCTGGCCCTTTTTTGGTGCCAGGTATGTTTTTGTTCTTCATTGTTGAGTAGCTAGGATTACAGGTGTGAGCTACTGGCGCCCAGCAAGTTATTTTTGAGATGGGGGTCTGGGAAAAACAACAAAAAAAAAAGAAAAAGAAACATGGAGAATCTGGGATCCTGGACCCCAGCATCATTTGTGAGGTCACAGGTGTCCATTTAGCGAACCAATGTCTAGAACTGAGGCCACAATCAGGGAGAAAGGCAAGACAGAAACGAACCCCTTTATACAGAAGCATTCACAGGCCCATGACCGCCCCCCCCCCCGGCTCTGGCTACCACTCTGTGTCCACTAGGCTCCACAGGTAGTCGCTGACAAACTGCTTGGAGAGCTGCGTGCTGTCCAGGTAGATGGGCTGTGCCACTCTGGGGCCGTGATGGACTGGGGAGGGGGGGAAGCGAGGCAAGGAAAACCACAAGTATGTCTCCCCCACCCCTTTTCTTTGGTCGGTCGTGGGACTTGAACTCTGGGCCTGGGCGCTGTCCCTCAGCTCTTCAGCTCAAGGCGAGCGCTCTACCCACTTGAGCCACAGCGCCACTTCCGGTTTTCTGGTGGTTTATTGGAGATCAGAGGCTCACAGACTTTCCTGCCTGGGCTGGCTTTGAACTGTGATCCTCAGATCTCAGCCTCCTGAGTAGCTAGGATGACAGGCGTGAGCCACGGCACCTGGCTGTTCTTCATTATTTTTAAGATTCTCAGGTTTCTGACTGCAGCGCTCTTGGATCACCATCCTCCTTACCTATGGCCCCAGGTGAAACTCGTCAGCTCTGCTACCCAGTTCCTCACCACTCCCATACACTGAGATAAAGCCTCCCGCATTTTGCTTGAGCTGGCCTCACATAGAGATCCTCCTGACGTCAGTCAGCCTCCTGAGTAGCTGGGATTACAAGTACGAGCCACGGTGCTCAGCTTTTATTTCTAACTTTTTTTTTTTTCAGTCCTGAGGCTTGAACTGGGCCTGGGCGCTGTCCCCGAGCTCCTCAGCTCAAGGCGAGCGCTCTACCACTTGAGCTCAGCACCACTTCCAACTTTTCCTGTGTACGTGGCACTGAGGAATTGAACCCATGCTAGGCAAGCGCTCTACCACTGAGCCACCTTCCCAGCCCTCACCCTTTTTTTTTCTTTTTGGTTGGTTATGGGGCTTGAGCTCATGGCCTGGGTGCTGTCCCTCAGCTCTTCAGCTCAAGGCTAGCGCTCTACCACTTGAGCCACAGTGCCACTTCCGGTTTTCTGGTGGTTTATTGGAGATAGGAGTCTCACGGTCTCTCCTGCCCGGGCTGGCTTTGAACCGCGATCCTCAGATCGCAGCCTCCTGAGTAGCTAGGATGACAGGCGGGAGCCACCAGCACCCAGCTTTATTTCTAACTTTTAAGAGCCCCACCCCACCCCACACACATGATTTTTCCAGAGCCGTGGGCCACCGAGGTTTCCAAGAAAGGATACTGCCCTTGATCATCCCAGACTCACACTCGTAATCCCACTCAATTTTACTAATTCTGTGATACAGTTGAGCCACATACCTAGACAGGGAGAACAGGAAGCAAAAAACAAGAGTGAACAGAAAAATTAAAACATACCCTCAGACAGTGCCCTGAGCGCCAAGGGCTCCCAGAACCTACACGGCGGAGGGGATGGTGACGGTTGTGTCCTCGTCCACTTCTCTCTCCTGCCTTTCCAGATCAGCCTCCATCTCGCGGAGCTCCTGCAGCTCGCTGGTGAGCTGGGTGCCTCAGGTGGTTAAGGAACCCTGACTTGGGAAGGAGGGAGGGAGAGAGGGAGGGAAGGCACCAACCTCCAAGCCCTTAGCTTTTTTCTGCTCAGGTTGGTGCTCTACCACTTGAGCCACAGCACCACTCTTAGCTTGCTTGCTTTCCCTCTCTTTCTTTTCTTCCTTCTTTCTGGTGGCTCATGGGAGAAAACAGTCTCACAGACTTTCCTGCCCGGGCTGGCTTCAAACCATGATCCTCACAGCTGGACCTGGTGGCTCACACCTGTCATCCTAGCTACTCAGGAGGCTGCGATCTGAGGATCACGGTTCAAAGCCAGCCCAGGCAGGAAAGTAGTCTGTGAGTCTCTTTATCTCTAATTAATCACCAGAAAACCACTGACGCTGTGGTAGAGCGCTCACCTTGAGCTAAAGAGCTAAGGGACAGCGCCCAGGCCCAGAGGTCAAGCCCCACGACCAACCAAAAAAAAACAAAACTATGATAATCAGATCAGAGCCTCTCTCTCCCTCTCTCCCTCTCCCCTCTCTCTGTCTCTCTCTCCCCCCCTCCCCCCCCCCCCCGCCCTTCCAGGGAGGCTGAAGGAAGGATATGTGAGGCTGGTCTGCAGCCCTGCGTCCTCCTCGCCCACCTTCCTGAGCTCGGCTTCCAGCTGCTCCAGCTCAGCTCCCCTCTCCCGCACTTGCTCCTTGGAGTCTAGAAGGCTCTGGGCCACTTCCTTCTCCGCTGCCAGGGTCTCTAAGTGAGATACAAGCGGCTGCCTCCTCCTCATCCATCTTTTCCAGGAGGGCCCAGGGAAGAGAGCGGCACCCCCACTTCCACCCCCCTGCTGGAGATCTCTCTCCATAGCTTGTAATACTTTACCGTGTGTGTGTGTGTGTGTGTGTGTGTGTGTGTGTGTGTGT